AATTTGCAATTATTTTTACTATATAATAATTATTTTGACTAATATACTTCTTAATTACTTATTAATTACACTTTACCTAAAATTTCGAATCTACAGTAATATGCTCATATTACATGGGACGGAGAGAGTATTTTATTAGGACATTTAACGAATATTAATATATATTTTTTATAACGTAGGAATTTGCAATTCGAATAAATTTTTCGATCGAACCTAATGATCTTCAAATTAGGTTCGACAAGGCAAGTCAACGAACCATATGTGTCAGTCAAGACTCGGAGATATCGAAAGTTTAAATATATGACCTACGATCACGAGTCCATCACCGCATCATCCCTTGTAAGAAAGTTAAATTATATGTTTCTCCTTGTTTATATGTATTTTAATTTAAATTTAAAATAATCATATTTATAAAATAATAAAAAAATATGAAAATTTTTATGGTAGTATGATAATTTATTTTAGACATAGCCGAAGGGATTATTATATAAACACACAATATATAACAAGAGTTCACTCCGCACATATTACAATTAATGTCGACACATAAAAAAATATCTATCTAGCTAGCACATATATAAAATAAACACACGAAACTAAAAATCTATCCAACATGTACTATATAAATTGTTATTTCTCGTCTCCGCTGAAAGTGCTATTATTATCATTTTTGTCTATTTTCTTAAATAAAATATATATTTTTTATTTTAATAAAAATAATCAAATATTAATATCAAATATATTTTAAATACTTGTATTAACCAATAAAATGTTGCTTATTTCGTCCATTAAAATTATATAGGTTTAATTGGCATGAAAACTGTAAAATAATATTTTAATACTATTAAAGCAGGGTAATAAAATTAAAAAATAATAATAAAAAAAATTGATTATTACTATGTATTGATGTAAAGGTAATAAAATGGTTTATTATAAATGAATTGTACATAAATTTATTAAACGGTAAAAAAATACATAATATTGGCAAACAAATATATCATTATCTTTTAATCTATTATAAAAATTCAAAAGACTTTTGAGTGAGTCATAAAGAGTAATTTTACTATGTACTCCCTCCGTCCGGTTCTAAGGGTTTCATTTACCTTTTGCGTAATTGTAATTAACATTAAAAATATTCTTATATTTATATAATTTTTTGCACAAATATCATTATAATATTATAAGACACTAATAGAACTAATTTTGTGATTTTCCCTTGATTTGTACTACGTTTTCATATAGTAATTAATATTCAAATATGAATACGCAAAAAGTAAATGAGACCCTTAGAACCGGACGGAAGTAGTATTACTTTTGTACCAATTCAAGGTATCATCTTTATCATTTTTTGTCCCTTAAACTTGTTTACGTCATTGTTTATAATAATATGTAAAGTGTGTGGGTATTTTTTATTAGGAAAAATTATCCATAACTCTCCTATAATTTCAAAATTTAGCGTAAATTCCTCTAATACTTTAAAAATTACATGACGTCCCTTTATACTTTAAAAAATATTGCATAAAAATTGGCTTCTATGTAAAAATTATAGATAGAAAATCATCTTTTCATCACACAAAAAATATTAAAAAGGGTTTCGTGCAACTTTTTTAAAATATAAGGGAACGTCATGCAATTTTCAAAATAAATAGAATTTATGATAGTTTTTAAACCACATGAGAATTATGATCAATTTTGTCTTTTATTAAAATAAAAAGTATTTTTACAAAAAAAAATAATAAAACAGATACATTGGAATTGGACATAAAAAGAAATAAAATAATTAGATACGACTCGAAGAAAGAAAATACCCCATTTGTCCCAAAACAATAGTCATATTTTTTTTTTTTTCGTCCGTTTGCAAATAATAATCTCATTTTAATAAATAATTATATCACTATAAAATATCTCTATTTTTTTTAATTATTGTTACATAAATATCATTATTTTTTGGGCATGGATAGTTGGTAATCCGGTCAAGTCAGCATGTTGTTATATGAATGACCAGACTATATTTATACATATTTCAACGTATTTATAATACTACATATATTATATTATAAATCAACATATCACTACAAAAAAATAATCTAATTTGTAACAGAATTTCGTCCTTAAAGTTCACGTAGCTAACGTAATTCCATTTCTAATTCCGTCTCTAATGTCATTAGTAACGGAAACAGTAGATTTAGAGACAAAAAAGTTTTGTTACAAAAATGATTTTTTCTTGTAGTGTATGTCATCTTAGAACGCTGTATAAACATATGTAGGTCACTTATACTGACCGGATCAAAACAACTAGGGATATCAAATGGGGCGGGTTAGCCCCGAACCCGTTCTTAATGAGGCGGGTTCGGGTCTAAATAATATGTTTCGTGGCGTATTGTGGATTTTAAATTTTAAATCTGGCCGGATTCGGGGCGAGTTTTAAATTATTATAACTAATATATGTATATTTATATAATAAAAATATATTATTTATTTATTTAGATAATTTTAAATATAAAACTCAATTAGTCGTGTGCTCCTAGTAATTTTTTTAAAATTATTATAACTAATACATATATATTTATATAATCAAAATATATTATTTATTTATTTATATAATTTTAAATATATAACTCAATTAGTCGCCTGCCTCCAACTCTAAATCTCTAATTTCTCTTTCCGTTTCTTTAACCGCGACTATTGCCGTATGCCATCCTCATCCACTCGTCTGCCGCCAGCGCCACTATGCCACCACCGGCCGCTTGCACCACCGCTGTCAGCTATGAGTTTCTTTTTTCTGTGTTGTGGTAAGTACATATTGGTTATTACTTACAACATATATATCTGAATATTTTGATTTATAGTTATGATTTTTGGTTAGTTTGCTCCACGATCTTACAACAATTAGTAGAAAACTGATTATTCAACTAATAAAATAGCATATGTCATTGATTAAATAAACAAAATAAATTAAGCAGACAAGACAAAATTATAGCAGGTACATCTTATATAACAAACTATTAAAAGATAAATGAAAAATACGTAGCAAACTAGTCATACAAAATGAAGAATTAAATCATTAACCTCGTATATCTAATAATCACATGTTCTACAATAGCAAAAATTTGTATTTTTCCTACTTTTTTATACTATTAACAGAAACTAGGTTATACTTAGTATTGCAATATTACACTTTTTTATATGAAAGTATTAATTCTGAATTTTAATTATTAAGATATAATTTTTTATTTATTATTTTTATACAATTGCTGATGGAATTTGAAGAAACAGATAATTCTATACTATCGGTAGAGATTTCAGATTTTGATGCAAATAATCTTGCAAATGCGATTGAAACTTTGGATATAGATGAAAGTAGCAGCAAAAGAAAAAGAACGTCTGAGTATTGGAATCAATTCAAAATGATTAAAGTAGATAATATGACATATGCCGAGTGCAAGTATTGACAAGTTCGTTTGAAAGCACCAAGTGATTACGGGACCGATCATTTGCATAAACATTATGAAATGTCTTGTACGAAAAGACCAAGAAAGATGATATCCAACAAGCATTTCTCAATCTTCAAAATATTAGTTGATAGCCATAAATCGCATGTGTTAAATATTCATGGAACTAACAATCTTCAAAATCACATGTTTAGCTAATAGCCATAAATCGCATTTGTTAAATATTAATATTATTTGCGATATTTGGTTAATTTTGATTAGATTCTACCTGATTTGGGTATATATTATTTATTTATGATTTGCAGGAGAAAAATAATAAAATTGATAGAATTAGAGGGAAAAGAGTACAAAAAGGTTCAAAGCCCAATTGTTACAAAATTAGGGCAAATATAAAGGAAAGAAAGAAAGGGGAGGCGCCACTTTATGCTACTTGCCGAGGAGAACACCGTGCAGACTAGTCCCAGGGAAAAACCGTGCAAGGGCAAGAGGGAGAAAGATTCTTCCAAGAAGATTACGAGTTCTACCCATACCAACATCATTCTCAGGCGATGTTTCTCTTTGTTTCCTTTTTTTTTCCTCCTATGATTAGCGAGTAATTCACTTTTTTAGTCTATGAGTGAAAAACAACTTGATATGAATTTGGGATATTAAACTTGTTTTGATTTATGATATTTCTTTGGTTATAAGTATTTATGTTATTTCTGATTTCTTTGAGTTATAATCTTTTTTGGGTTGGGTATTGTGGTAAGGTATTTCAATTGGATTAAGGATTAATTGCTAAACTAACTTAGGCATCCGTAATTGCGTTTTAATTTGGTTCAAGTAGCAACTAATGGCAGACACCATTAGGAAATCACATAATCAATTTTAAACAATTTCGAATAGGTAATTGTTAAATTGAGTTAGTCTCTTCTAGTTCGCAAGGCGGTTAGGCTAGTAAATTCTTTTTGGCGTCACTAGGAATCTAGTCTAACTAGGAAAGCAGTTGACGGACGTACCTAAACTGTCGAGAAATTAAGGAAGAGTTGGTTATTAGGCGCGTGTCGGTAACTATAACTAATTTATTTAGAAACCAATAAAATTAAATATTTATCGATGATCAAATCCACTACTCAAGTTGTCAATTTCATTCATAGACTGGAAACTTATTTTTATTGAATTTATTTTTTAGTCGTAGAGTTTTTAGTTTGTTATTTTATTTTTATTTCCTACTTCCAAAATTCCCCCTTTTATTATATTTATAAATTAAACAATTGAATGTAAAACCTTTTTAATTTCCTAAGGAGACGACCCTACTTCATCTATACTACGTTATTTTTATTGCAGAAGTAGGTTTATTATATTTAAATTTTGTTGTGTGTGAAGAACGCCTGTCAAATTTTTGCGCTGTTGCCAGGGAATTCCAATTGGTTTAATTTATCTTTGGTTGTTTTATATTATTTTTGAAAATCTGAGTTTTTCTAGTTTATGTCGAGATCTGATCGCACATGAATCTTGAGTTTCAATCCCGAAATTGAGAAGACTGCGTGTTGATTAAGAAAAGAAACTATGGAGCATCGCCAAAAAGATTTAACTTTAGAATTATCTAGCGATTTGAGTTTTGACGAGTTAGAGCTAGAAGAAGAGATGGATCAAAGGACACTGAGGGAGCTGGTAGCTCCTAACTTGACTTAGCAGCATCTGTACATAGCATACCCGACAGTAGAAGGTAACAGTGCTTTTGAATTAAAATCAGGCCTAATACACTTGTTGCCTTTTTTTCATGGGTTGTCAGGAGAAGAGCCACATAAGCATCTTCAAGAATTTGATGTCGTTTGCACAAGTATGAAGCCACAAGAAGTAACAAAAAATCAAATCAAGCTTCATGCTTTTCCCTTCTCACTGAAAGACGCTGCAAAAGATTGGCTATTCAATCTATCTGCCGAAAACATCACTACATGGCTGACATGAAGAGAAAATTTTTAGAAAAGTACTTTCCCGCTTCACGAGCTGCGATTATGAGGAAAGAGATATGTAGAATGACACAACATACAGGGGAGTCTTTATTTGAATATTATGACCGCTTTAATGCTCTACTTATTCGATGTCCCCATCATCAAATCCCAGTGCAATTACTGATTCAATATTTCTATGAAGGTTTAACTTCCATCGACAGGAGAATCATAGACGCAGCAAGTGGAGGGGCCTTGATGAGAAAAACTCCTAGAGAGGCGTGGGACTTACTGAACAATATGGTGATAAACTCACAACAGTTCGGACAAAAAGAAGCATTACCAGTTAAAGAAGCAAGCGATGTGAGTTCTATTCAACGACAATTGACTGAACTGATTTCATTTGTTCGACAATTTGTTTCAGGGAAGGCACAAATTAAGGCTTTTAGGATCTGTGCAAGTTCGGAACATCCTACTGATATTTGTCCTACTTTAAGTCAAAAAGTAGATGTCAGTGCTGCAGGATTCATCCCAAGAGCATACAACCACTACTCGAATACCTACAATCTAGGATGGAAAGATCAGCCGAACTTAAAGTATATGAATCAACAATCTAAATTTGGAGATCATTCGAGAGGATTCCCAACACTTAACCACCCTCCACAACCCCCTCAAACGGTTCCTAGTAATTCCTTAGAGGATCTGATGAAAACTATGGCGTCTAACATGTTGCAATTTCAACATGAAACTTGGAATAGCATAAGAAACTTGGAAGAACAAGTAAGTCAAATAGCAAATGCGATGTGCGAGATGAAGTAAAAAGAAAAATGTAGATTGCCCTCACAACCCGACGTCAATCCGAGGAATGTGAGCTCGATTGTTATACAAAATGGAAAAGATTCAGAAGTATCGAAGATTGGAGTTCCAAAAGACAAGAATGAGAAAGACATTAAGAAAGAAATAGAGCAAGACATCACTGAAACATTGAACAATGTAACTTTTGATACACCTACTAATACTAAAACTAATGTTGCACCGTTTCCTTGCAGGTTGGTGAAACCAAATAAGGATGACAAAAATAAGAAGATGATGGAGATGTTTCGAAAGGTGGAATTGAACATACTCTTACTAGATGCAATCAAGCAAGTGCCGAAGTATGCAAAATTTCTGAAGGATCTTTGTGCGAACAAGAATAGACTACATGGAGACAAATGCATTATTATTGGTGAGAGCGTATCTGCCGTTTTACAACGTAAGCTTCCTCATAAATGTAGAGATCCAGGTATGTTCTCGGTTCCTTGTAAGATAGGTAAGTTGGAGATTAAACGAGCAATGTTAGATTTAGGAGCTGCAATTAATGTGATGCTTAAATCTATTTATAAGTCTTTGAACATTGGGTCTTTAAAATAAACTGGAATTATGATACAATTAGCCGATAGGACAAATGCTAACCCTGAAAGAATGATTGAAGATGTCCTAGTGCAAGTTAACGAATTAATTTTTCCAATTGATTTTTATGTGCTTGATATACATTATTATGATTCTCCAAATCCTGCACTGATTTTACAAGGTAGACCATTTATGTACACCGCACAAACTAAAACTGATGTGAAACAAAGTATACTTTCTATGAAATTTGATGGTGAGAAAGTGCAATTTAATTATTTCTGATTCTATTAAATACCTTGAAAAATCTAGTGTGTTGTGCAGTGTGAATATTATTGACAAAAGTATGCAGGGAGTCTTGAGATTGCATGAGAAATCTATTCTGGACATAAAATCAAAGCCGCATCTGAGTCAATTGAAGCTTGTTCACTTAAACGATAATGTGAATCTTGCAAAGAATTTTTTTGTGAGTAATCATCGTTTTAAACATGGAAGTAAAAAACAAAAATTGAAGTGGGTAAGACGGTATAAAGTAGTTCTACCTAATGGTTAACATGGTAACTGCGTCTAGCCAAATACGTTAAAGAGAGGCGCTTCTTGGGAGACAACCCAAGTTTTCTAGCTTTATTTCTTTTATTTTCTTTAGTTTTTGTTTTATTTTTTTAATTTTTAAACATCGCCTATTTGATTTGGATTCTTTATTTTATGTAGGGAACTTCTTGGAGAATTTTGAAAGAAAAAAAAAAAAAAAAAGCCGCCGTCTTTTTTCTTCTTTCTCCCTAAGCTACCAATTTTGGTGTTGGCTAAAAGAGACGCACAATCAACTTGAAGAAGTTTGGAATCCAAAGCAAAAACATACAGTCGCACCAATCCTACGGATTCCAGGAAAGTTCCTCTCTTATTTTACTTTTTTTTACATTAAGGACAATGTTTGCTTTAGGTGTGGGGAGAGAGTTATGCAAATATTTTGGGCAAATTTTTCATTTTGTGCTACTTTTGATGCCTGATTTGCTAGCCTTTCACATGTTTTTTAGATTTGTCTGAAGTGAGTCAAAGGTGGTTTAAGTGATAGGTTAGTCTGATATGATTGATGACATTGGATTTGAAATATGTTAAGTCAGGTTGACATTTGAACCTTGTGATAATTTGAGTATATATTCAAAAAAGCTTACATTAGAAAATAAACTACATATTATCAAGCTTTTGGAAATTCTTTCTTGTTTGATTTGTAGTATTCAATTAGATGACCTAGAACTTGAGTGAATATGCATGTTGAACTTGCAACTATCGAGTCTTGCATTTTGAAAATGATAAGGGCATTAAGTAACCATTGAGCCTTTCTTTATCACCCAACACAATATATTTCCCCCAGTTAGCCCATTTGAGACTTTTTAGCCTATTTTTCTTATATTAAACCGTCTTTTAGCTGCATACCCTTCTTTTGATATTAAGCTTTCTCCGATTTTAACCCTATGTTAGAAATAATTAATTTAAGTTCACGGTGTGATGCACCTTATTTGTTCGGCACTAGTTAGAAACGAAGTTTGAGTATAAATAAATAACGCATTCAAAAGTGTTTGCTTCAATGAAAACGGGTAGTGAAAGGCGTATATATATTTTTTAAAAAAAAAGGCCAAAAAACAAAGAGCAAAAAAAAGGCCCAGAAAAAATAATAAAAAAATTAAATCTTGATGAAGTATTATTGATATAATTATGTTATCAAATTTTGGGTAGTGAATAAAGTAAGGGTTTTATTGTTTATGTCGAACTGTTTTTCACATGCTAGCATCGTGTTCTTATTGTGTTCTTTTCTAACATATTTTAGCTTTCGCATATCCTTTTTTCTACCCCTAACCATCAGCCCTGTTACAACCTTTATAAAAATGTCCCTTTGATTCTTGATGTTAGATTCGAGTATCTTAAGCAAGGGATTTGATTTTCATTCAAGCCTATAGGATAATTTTTTTTCGTACTACTTGAACGTCAGCTTATTATACACATTTATTTCTTTCAGAGAGCATGTGCGCATACACTTTATCCTTTGAGGTTGACTTGGCTTGATATGTTGAATTTCCGATTTATTTGGTTGAATTAGATTTTCTTGTCATATTGAGTCGCATGCGATTTCTTTTGACTTGTTTCGAATTTATGCTTAAGGGCAAGCATGATCTAGGTGTGGGGAGATTTGATAGCCATAAATCGCATGCGTTAAATATTTATATTATTTGCGATATTTGGTTGATTTTGATTAGATTATACCTGATTTGGGTATATATTATTTATTTATGATTTGCAGGAGAAAAATAATAAAATTGATGGAATTAGAGGGAAAAGAGAAGAAAAAGGTCCAAAGCCCAATTTTTACAAAATTAGGGCAAATATAAAGGAAAGAAAAAAGGGGGAAGCGCCACTTTATGCCACTTGCCGAGGAGAACACCATGCGGAACAGTCCTAGAGAGAAACCATGCAAGGGCAAGAAGGAGAAAGATTCTTTCAAGAAGATTTCGACTTCTACCCCTACCAACATCATTCTCAGGTAATGTTTCTCTTTGCTTCATTTTTTCTTCATCCTATGATTAGCGAGTAGTTCACTTTTCTAGTATATGAGTGAAAAACAACTTGGTATGGATTTGAGAGATTAGACTTGTTTTGATTTCTGATATTTCTTTGGTTCAAAGTATTTCTATTGTTTCTGATTGCTTTGAGTTATAATCTTTTATTTGGTTGGGTATTGTGGTCAGGTATTTCAATTGGATTAAAGATTAATTGTTAAACTAAATTAGACATCCATAATTGCGTTTTAATTTGGTTCAAGTAGCAACTAATGACAGACACCATTAGAAAATCACATAATCAATTTTAAACAATTTCGCATAGGTAATTGTTAAATTGAGTTAGGCTCTTCTAGTTCGCAAGGCGGTTAGGCTAGTAAATTTTTTGTGGCATCACTAGGGTTCTAGTCTAACTAGGGAAGCAGTTGATGGGCGTAGCTAGACTGTCGAGAAATTAATAAAGAGTTGGTTAATAGGCGCGTGTTGGTAACTATAACTAATTTCTTTAGAAACCAATAAAATTAAATATTTATCGATGATCAAATCCACTTCCCAAGTTGTCAATTTCATTCATGGACTGGAAACTTATTTCTATTGAATTTATCTTTTAGTCGTAGATTTTTTAGTTTGTTATTTTATTTTTATTTCCTACTTCCAAAATTCCCCATTTTATTATATTTATAAATTAAACAATCGAAAGTAAAACCTTTTAAATTCCCTGATGAGACGACCCTACTTCATCTATACTACGTTATTTTAATTGTAAAAGTAGGTTTATTATATTTAAATTTTGCAGCGTGTGACGAACGTCTGTCATTAGCCAAGATGAATCAAGACGTGAGCTTGCTATAATGGTTATTCTACATGACTATCCAATTTCAATGGTTGATTATATTGGATTTAGAAGATTTGTTACAAGTCTTCAACCTGCCTTCAACATGAGTTCACAAAATACTCTCAGGAATGATATTTTCAAAATTTATGAAAGTGAAAAAGCTAAGCGTTATTCATTATTGGATAAGCTTAAGTGCCGGATTGCAATCACTACTGATATGTGGACATCAATCAACAGTAAAGGTTTTATGGCAATCACTGGTCATTTTATTGATAACTCATAGATTCTACAAAGTTTTATATTGAGGTAACTTTAATTTTTGAATTATAATTTTATATGTATTTATATGCATAATACTAATTAATTGTTAATTTTTATAGGTTTATTTATGTTCCGACTCCTCATACGGCTAAAGTATTGTCTGAAGTTCTTGTGGAATCACTACTGAATTGGAATATTGATAGAAAGCTATCAACAATTACCATTGACAATTGTTCTACCAATGATGTTATATTCCGTCATGTTTTGGAAAAGATTTGATTTTGGATGGAAATATACTACATATGCGATGTTCAGCTCATATTTTAAATTTGATTGTGAAAGACGGTTTTAAAATAATAAATGATGCTATTGAAACAATTCAAGATAGTGTTGTTTATTGGATTGCTTCACCTGCTATAGTTGAAAATTTTAAGGAGGCTTCACGCCAATTGCATATTTATTGTGGTAAAAAGTTGGTTTTTTATTGTAAAACTCATTGGAACTCGACTTATTTGATACTAGAAACAATTATTTTATATAAGGATGTGTTTCCACGAGTTAAACTTCAAGAGAGACATTATGATAGAGTGCCCAGTGAAGAAGATTGGAAGAATTCAAAAGAAATTTGTGCAAAGTTGAAACTTTTTTATCAAGCCACGGAAATGTTTTCTAGCACTCTTTGTCCTACACCTAATTATTTCTTTCCAAAGATATGTGATATCAAAGCTGAAATTAGATGAGTGGGCGAAGAGTTCAAATATGATGATTAAAGACATTGCTAAAATAATATTGATGAAATATGAGAAATATTGAAATAGTTATCATATTATAATGGTGTTGTTGTTGTGTTGGATCCTCGATACAAAATGAAGTTGGTTAAATTCTATTTTCTCTTGATATATGGTGATAATCGGTGGGAAAAAATTGAGGAGATCCAACAATATTGCTATGATCTCTTGTATGACTATCAATCTAGGGATACATGTTCAAGTATTGGACATTCTGAATGTTTGGATTTGTGGAATTCATCATCGTATAATTCTACTTGTGATACATTTAAGAGTGATCCATTAGCTTTGTATGATTAGTATATTGCTTCTAGTTCAAATTATTCTGCTAAAGTGTCATCAACATCTGAATTGGACTTATATTCGGAGGAAAATGTGCTACCAAGAACTCCAAATTTTGATGTTTTGAGTTAGTGAAAACTAATGGAGTGAGATATCCTACTTTGCAAAAAATTGCATGAGATGTGTTGGCTATTTCTGTTTCAACAGTTGCTTCTGAATCAACATTTAGTACAAGTGAAAAATTGGTTAGTCCTCATCGTAGTAGATTTAATCCATCTACTTTGGAAGCATTAATGTGTACTTGACATTGATTATGGAATCAAGCTACAAGTAAGTATTTATTTTTAACATTTTAATTTTTTTACTTGTATAATATAATACTCCCTCCGTCCACACACAAAGTATACATTTACTTTTGGCGCGGTGTTTAAAGAATAATAGTATTTTAATTATAGAGGGTAGTTGAAAGTAGTGTAATGTCATTTTTGCCCTTACTTTTTGGTGTAAAAATAATGATGTGATGTAAAGTAAGGGTATTTGTGGAAAAAGTGAGGTATTTAATGAAATGTTTACTTTGTAATTGGACGTCCCAAAATAGAAACATGTATACTTTCTAACTGGACAGAGGGAGTATAATAATATGTATATATATATTTTTTAATTAGGTACTAGTGGATCGACCGTTAGATAAAAAAAACAATTGTCCTCCTGCAATGCTAGATGAAGATGAAGACTTTGATATTGAAGAATGTTAGAATTAACTATTTGATGTTTTGAATTTTTATATTTGAATTGTATTTATGTACTTTTATCTTATTTTTATGGATCAATATTTGATTGTTTTTATAATTATATTTTTTTTGTGCTTTTAATGCTATTTTTTTAGTATTCGATTGTTAAAAAAAATATTTATTATTATTATTATTATATTTTCCTAAAAAAAATGAGTTTTCCTGGTTGGCCCCGAACCCGATGGGTTCAAGGCGGGGCGGGTCCTGGGGCAAGGCTGAAGCGGAACGGAACGGATTTCAGGGCCTAATATTTTCTATCCGGCCCGAACCCACCCCGTTGACATCCCTAAAAGCAGCACCATGTTGATTTGGTCAGATCAGCCTAGAATCTACCGCGTTACTTTTTACACAAATATAATCACAAAAATATTTTAGTTTTTTATTATCTGTTTTATACCCACTTTTAATATAATCTACTCTCTTGTCCCTTGACAATTTATCTATTTTTCTATTTTGGTATATCATATAACAAAGTATTCATTTTATTTATTTTAGTAATTGTACTATCTACTTAACATTACATTTATTTTTACTTTGTTCTAATATAATATTAATACTTTTAAAACTCCGGAAACAAAATAAATTGATAGATAAATATAAGACGGATGATTATTTATTAAATTTAATGTCGAATGGAGAGATTCAATATGATGCCGATTAGATTTGTTTTTATTATTTTATGTATATATAGATCTATCTCTCTCTCTCTCTCTCTATATATATATATATGTATAATTGTATATGGTGGCCTCCCACGTCATTGTAAGGTCATTCTTACATAGGCGCGCACAGTGGTTATGAACCCGTTTGACTTTGCGCTAAGGTAAAGTGATATATCATACTCATTTAATTTCATCTATTCAATTCGGACAAATAAATTCCCTTTCTTCTCTCTCTCTCACTTTCCCAGTTTCCTCTTTGCTCTGACTTCTTTCTCTAATTTCTCTCTCTCTGGTCATCATCAGTGAGAGATAGTCTATCAATGGAAGGTCTTCCCCCTGGATATCGCCCCAACGTCGGACTCTGCCTCCTCAACCAGGATAACATGGTACGCAAATTCCTTCTTCTTACACCTCCATACCATACGATGAATTCGTGTCTGCTCAAACTCATTTCTATTTTTATGTCTTTTTAGTTTTGAATTTTTATAATTGTTCTGCTGCTACAGATCGTGCGTTTTATCGGTATCCTCTTTTGCCTGTGTGATTGATTCGTCTTCTATTTCGAAATCGTTTCGGAGAATTTTTTTTTTTAGGTTAATTTTGCCCTAAATTAGTACAGCTGTCTGATTTGGGTAACTTTTTTTTTTACCTCAATTTGCAATTGCAATTGCGAACTAGATTCATTACATTTTTCTTTTTTCTTTTTAATTTTTTACTATTATTTTTTTTTTTTATCCCCAGGTTTTTGTTGCATCGAGATTAAATGTTCCTGGAGCATGGCAGATGCCTCAGGTAAATTAATCACTGTTATTCTGGAATGCCTATAAATTTTACAGTTACTTTTTTATAATAAGAAAATGAAGTGTGTTTGTCCGTGGGATTGAGGTTTGAATTTAATAGTTGAGTGATGTAATAACGTTCATTTGTTATATTAAATATAAAATAAATTTCTAATATAATACATTGAAGAAATTGATTAATTTAATATTTTTGAAAAAGAAAAAAAAAAAGATTGAATAATAAAAACTTGTTCTAAAATTCACAAAAGAAAACAATTGTCTCCTGACTGGCCTAGTTTCTGTTGGGAATAGAGGATTTTGGAATTTGGAGTTTAATTTTTGTTTTGGATTTTATTCCCACTTTTTTTTTTTTTTTCTGTAATTTGAATATAATATTCTACCAAAATAATAATAAAAATAAATTGTATATTTAAAACCAAACTCACAAAATAGTTAGATTTGTTTCTTTAATATTTTAATTTGAAATATTTTTTTATATGCGACGACACAGATAATAGTATCGATGCATAAAATTAGTAATATTTTATATTGAAAGCTGAATTTTTGTGAGAAAATAATATATATATGCATTATATATATTGAAGATCGTATCATAAAAAATTTAGGGGTGTGTTTCTTTATTCCAAAATTTTTAATTTTTTACTATTTGTTCTGTGCGTTCCTCGAAAAAATATATATTTTTTTCTTACAAACATTTCATTAAATATTATTTTAATACTAAATTCAAATCAATTTTTTTTTTTATATATCCATTTGTATTTTGAATTTTAATATTTTAGAAGATAATACTCTAATGTGATTTTTTGTTTAAAAAATAAGTCCTGTACAATTTCGTTTATGTCTTCTTGTTCATTAAAATTTCTCTTCTTATTCAACTCAGTTTTGGACAATAGATTTTTGGAAATTTTAGAATTTTGAAAAATTTAAGAATAATAAAATATTAATATTTGATATGGTATTTTGTTAAAAATAATAATAATAATATTTAATGTGATATTTTTGAATAAATCGAAATAGTGTTAAATTTTCAAAATTTAATCTAAACAGAGTTGCAATTTTATTTTTTTATTTAAAAAATTAGATCAAAAATTTATTCAGTATTCAAAACATCGTAATATAACATCAAACATATATGTTCTATTAAAATTTTTACTATTCTCAAAAAAATCTACAATTTCGAAATACTTTAAATATATCTAAACATAAAAGTAAAAAATTATGAAAAAAAATCCTTTTTTTTTTGTTAATTTTAAGTTGAGATAATTGTGGTCAGTGATGAAAATAATGATGGTTGATGTTTGAGGAGGGAATAGAAAATTAAAATGATAAATAAATAAATAAATAGTAAAACAACATTTTCTTCGTATTGTCAAAAAAAATTAAAATAATAATAAATAGAAAGTATTGTATAATGGCACTTAGAGACTATGCAAATTTAGTCGCGATTATTGTATAGTAAAAAAAATTAAAATTAAATTTCAAAAGAACGTAGCACTTTTTTTTTCCATTATTACAACATAGTTGTGCACATTATGATAGGGAAGTATCGAAGAAGGAGAAGACCCGAGGTCTGCCGCTGTTCGAGAACTCAAGGATGAAACTGGAGTTGTCTCTGCCGAAATAATCGATGAGGTCCACCCTTATTCTATTACACTATCATTGGTTTTAGCTGTCCGGACATTCGCATTTTTTAAGAATGTTCGAATAAATTATGTCGTCGATCTTTAAGAGGTCTAATGAATTGTCAGGTTCCGGGATGGTTGACCTACGAATTCCCGTCTGCTGTCAAGGCAAAAGTTAATCGTCTTTGGCGAGGAGAATGGCATGGACAAGCTACAAAATGGTTAGTACACAAATGTTGTAAGAAATATTCATATTTTGATCTAAATCGATAATCATGTCAATTATTTGCTTTCTTTTAGTGTTGGTCTATTTCAATCCATCGATCTTTTTGACACTTCTGTTTTTCGCCTTAATCTTTTCTTCGGACATACTTTAACTCCTTCAGTTAGTACTATTTGGTAATAATTGCCGAGAAGCTCGAATGAATGAGTTCTTTGTGTGAGCAACAAAACGAAAATTTGGAGGAATTTCATGTGTGTTTGTTGGTGATTTTTTATTTTATTTTTATTTTAGTTATTAGTTTGAATAGTGATTTAAATAGTATAAATTAATTTTTATTTATTAAAGTAATGGTAATACAATTGTGGACGTATAAAATTGTTTATTATAAATGAATTGTGTATAAGTTTAGAGGACGATAAAAAAAATAACAGCGACATAATTTTATGAAAGTAAATAATGTATTTGTATAGAAATAGATGAATAATAGAAATTTTGAAAATAATTACCAAACTTGGAAATTGATTAGTTAGATTTTAAATCTGATTAACTTTGATTATCTATTTATCATAGTAATAATTCATTTATTTTTACTTATATAACTATCTATGTATTGACATTTCATTTTATTAGGTGTAAGATGTTGTGAAACGATTTTTTCACATGTAATATTTCCCCACATTCGTATACACTCTCTCCATCCACTTTTAATGTGGTTATTTACTTTTGGCAAGTCGATTAAATAATATTAATATTTTAATAGTACTTAATAGTATCCAAGTATATTAAGATAAAATTATTTTTGCTAAAAGTAGTGGTATGTAATGACATGATTGTAATAAATGTAAAAATAGAAAAATTATAATTTATGATGGGATTGTGGTTATTAAAACGGAAAATATATACATTTGAATTGTACAAACGAAAATAAAAATATGTAAGCTTTAGAGATGGACGAATATTTTTTTACCATTCTACTTTTACTTTTGCTTTATAATAGTTTTATAAATTGTACTGAGAAAAGTAAAATAGGAAAAACCTAAGTATAAATAGTTGTAAATATTTTAGAACACCCAAATTAGAAATATACCATAAGATCTACGCGGTAATTATTTATATATATACATATATTTTAGCGTACATTTTAACTTTTCAAATGTACTCTTTGCTATCCGAAATAGTATTTTAGGATTCTATGGCTATTCATCGCTATTCAAGATTGACAACTAAGGATTGTTATTATCCATAATGTTCATAATTCATGGATAGGTTTCTGATGCGACTCGGAGCCGATGAGAGGGAAATAAATCTAGCAAATGCCGAAACTGATCGAGAGTTCTCAGAATGGAAATGGGCTTCCCCCGGGGAAGTAATCGAGCAGGTACTATACTAGTTTATTTAATTCTGGGAATGGTTACCGTGCAAAATTTTTAAATTAGCACCTATAATATATACAAACAATACATGTTTTTATTACACACAACTGTGTGTAATAAAGACATGTGCTATTCGTTTAGAATTATATGTGTGTTGTATAAAAGTATGTCATGTGTTAAAATCAACCGTTGTGTGTATTGTATGTGACTATAGCATGTGTTGTTAATTTATGTGTTGTATTTGTATTATATTGTTAATTTATGTGTTGTGTTTGTATTATATTAATGCTGCAAGAAGTAATACAATGTGTTGTTTGTTATTACATGTTGTGTTGTTAGTTTATGCGCTTTATTTGTATTATATTAATACAAGAGATGTGATGTCATAAGTAATACATTATGTTGTTTGTTATTACACAGTGTATTGTTCAATTGAATTTAATTTTTTGTTTGATTTTGATTTTGATTTTGATTTTAATTTTTGGACCAAGCTTCTGCAGGCAGTGGATTATAAGAGGCCGATGTACGAGGAGGTAATGGCGGCGTTTAGGTCGTACTTGAAGAGTACAGGAAAAGGAGCTGCAAAATGCTACTCGACAAAATGGTGAATGGCTCGATCGAGCAAAAAAGTTGTCTGTAAAAGGGAAATAATAAATAAAAGGAATAGAGTACACGAACGACACAACAACTACCTCGCGATTATGGTTTTATACAAATTTGGTTTTCTTGTGTATATTTTGACGGAGATGGGATCGAACTCGTGGATTAATTGTTTACTACGAAATGGTTGTCGACTAAGAACCGTGGGGCGTGATAACTGGTATTTTTGTAATTTTTTTATTTTGGTATCTTCGAAGAATAATTATTGAATGTAATATTCTGTATAAAATATGGATGTTGAATTTGATATTTTTTAGAGAGTAATTGGTTGAGTATAATACAAATTGTAAGTAGAAATTGATATGAACAAATCCTTTATTATTGATTTCTTTTTTTCTTTTTGAATAATATTTTGGCTCTATTTCTTTTGTGTTTGTTTTAAATTTATATACTATGTAAAATTTTATATTTTTATATATAAAAAAAAATACTATCTCCGTTCCATAAAAATGGTATTATTTGTTTTTTAAGTCATTGTATTTAGCATTAAAAATATCTTTATATTTATATAATTTATTTTGACAAATGTTGTCACATTTGCACTACGGTATTTTTAATTTATGTAATGCACTATTATTACTTTTATATAAATGAAATAATTAAAGCTGCTATTGAAAATTATAAATTTAATCGTTCCAGAGTTATCTATATTTTTAATGTTTTCATTTTGGTAATGTCATGAAGGATATTTTTGGATTGCCTCAAGAAAAAAAAAAATCAAAAGTAGACGTAGAAGTTGAAGTTAATCAAAAGTAGAAATGATTTATTTTTCGTTTAGATAAATTTTTATAATATAAATTTTTCGGAAAATATAAGATATAATAAAATATTTTTAAACAGTCAAAATTATTCAAAATGTCGTAATGATGTAAATGCATTTTTCTATTAAATATTCATAATTTTTTAAAATTTTATTAATTATATTTAAATTTTTAAAAGTATAATTAAAAAATATATATAATTTTTAAATTTGGCAAATTATATTTTAAAACTTTAATAAGTATAATATATAAATTAAAAATAAAATTACAATTTAATTTTAAATTAATTGTAATCTACAATTTATTTTATAAATTATATTTAACAAATCTAATTTTTACCTAGTATAATTAAAAATTTATATTTTTAAATTTTAGTATAGTAATTATAATTTAAGTATAATATATGAATTAGTTGTTATTATCATAGGTAAAAACAGTAATTTCAATTTCAAAGTTTTAAACTGGTTCTAAAAAGTCAATTTTTTAATTTCAAATCCTACTTTTATTTTTAGATAAATATGTATAAAAAAGTAAAACCAAAAGTCTTTTCTAGTAGTCAATGCAAATGGACTTAAATACTTCCTACCTCCCTTAATAATTTATCAATTGTTTTATTTTGGTTTATCTCATAACAAAATATTTATTTATTTGTTTTAGTAATTAATATTATCTATTTAATATTACAAATATTCTTTCAATTTACAATATATTACACAAATGTCATTATTTTTATATCATGCAATATAAATAAAGTTAGTTTAGGTTTATACTTTTATTTTTATTATATTTCGATATAATATTAATATTTCTCAAATTTTGTGCAAAAAAAATAAATGAATATTATAGATTTGGGACGGAAAGAATACTATTTGTGCACCGACAAAGTAATTTGCCACAAGCCCAGTCAATACAGCCCAAATGATTAAGTCCACTCAAGATTTTGGTCAGCAATTAAGTTGAGAGAATTAGAAAAATTGCCCGTATGAAGAGAAAGTAGAGAGAGTTGATTTTGGTCTATAGTTATCCACTTGTGATTACAAGAAAATTGAGAGAATTTAAGAAAATTATCGACATGATTTTTTCCTATTGCTTTGTTTTATGTTTTGGTTCCTACAATTAAGTATTAAAATTTCAATTAAATTAGATTCATTTTCAGACTTTATTTTGTGTTATTCTTCATCCGTTTAATTCTCACTCTATTCTTATCATATCAAATCAGCTTCAAAGGTTCTACCGTAATAATGTATATTCTGATATGTTACGTATCAATTTTCATTGCGATACCAAATTTGAATTCTTTTTTAAGGAAGTCGAAAAACTCAATTAACGTCAATTCCAATATACCTATAGATCCATTGGGCTGTCATCAACAGATTTTTGCGACAACGGTTTTATTAATGTTGGCCCAAATTAAGTAGTGTATCCTGTCCCCAAACTTATAAATGTTTTTTTTATAAATTATAAGGTTTTTTAAAAAAATAAAAATAAAAAATAATCTAAGTCAAATGGTGATTAAAAATTCTAATCTTCGAAGGAGTTTCGAAAACTACTATATTTATATCGGCCAATATTGGTGATTGAGTTTTTAAATTTTTTGTCCATTCATTCTATTTTATTTGTTTGTTGGCTTGAAGGATACATTTGGTGGGTGAAGAGATTAAGGTAGAAATTGATAAAATCATTGTTCTATTTTTTTTTGTGTTTTGGATTGATCAGTTTCATATAAATTCATCATTCATGAATTAATCCGAATCTCACTTATCCTTTCTTTAAAACTCGCACCTCTCTCTATATCCCCAATTTCCGATCAAATTTTTGAAAAAATTTGAAAGTGTGTTCATTGTCTGCATTGTGTCGCTAGCATCTTCTTCACAAGGTATCATCTTATTTATTTGTTTTTTACTATTTCTTATTGTATAATGATATAATTTTCAGAGTTTTTATTTATCATCTTTGATTTTATTTTTTTTGTATATATATATTGTTCTAATTTTTGTGATATTGCATATTCTTATTATTATATTTATGTTCGTACCATTTTGCCAGTAGTAATACCTTGAGTTAATATAATTTTTATTGCTTTAAAAATTTCTATGAATTTATATTTGTGTTCAAGAGCTTATATTTGAGTTAATATAATAAGATATGGATTTCAATATAAGCATTATTTATATTTATATAAATATACTAAGTGAACCACACACTTCTAACATAGATATTTTTAATTTGAAATATGGACAGTGTTTTGTGATGTTTTCATATGGGGAGGGATTGTATGGCCCCAGTAACGATCATCTACTTCATTTTTAATCTACATACCATTCTGAGCATATTTGAAATGGTGAATTAACTTATAATAAGTTTAGTCTTTGTTTGTCCGAAAAGATACTGGACTAGTATATCTAAATTATGTCATCTTAGGATCTTTGAGATATTAAATCGTATTGAATTTTATGGAGTATATCGGATTGGACATGTTAGACATGATCCTGATTGACGGTATTAGTTGAGTAATGAACTTTTCAAAAATTTGTATGAAATTGTTACAATTGTCTCTTGGTCCAAAATATTGCAAGCATAGACCGTGAATTTTGCACTATAGTTTAGATGACCATTTGAAGAAAATTTTGTTTAGCGGTTATTGGAGTAAAAAAAAAAAAAAAAAGCAGCTTAGTGGCCCGCTCGCATTGTTACCGATATATTTTTATAACTTGACATCTTAAATTTATTTAATAATACTACTTTTGTTGATTGAGTATTTTATTTTTTCTAGATTTGGGCATGGTCATGATTAAACATGTTGGCTCCTCGAATTAAATCAATAAACCTTATTGATGTCGATTCTCACATGTTTGCTAATGGTGTAATGTTCCTGCTGCGTCTTACGGAGCTAGGTAATTTATATAAATATGATAGTTCTTAATTAAAATATTTTACATTTTTAAATATAATCTATAATTTGTTATTATAGATGAACTCGGGGTAAACATGATTTTACTCCAAGCTGCTATACTTAATATTCTTGATCACGAAGGAAATAGACATATCAATAGGTATATAAATTTTAAATTTTATGCTATTTTTTTAATATAAATATGTCATATTTTGTGTGCAGTTTAATTGGCGGACTTACGAACCAATTTTATACGATAATTTACCACATTCTTGTCCTTCAACTTTATTTCGTTATCAAGGATCTTTGTTATATAAACAATCTATTGAACATCATTTCATAAATAAAGTGCTTCGACAACTAGGCTTAGTTCGATGCCTACAACATCATCTATTTGGTTGAAGCTTTTTATATCTGTTGTGGCATTGGTCTGTGGTGCTTACATATTGATATTTTTCATGAAAAAAATTTTAGTTTAATTGTGGAAACAGTCTAAGCAAATGACCTTAGGTGTATTAGTCTTTTTGACTTATTGTTGATGAACACTAAGAAAAGTTAATTAATTTTTTTTTTATTTTTTGGGAGTTGGGTGTTGATGTATGCCTTGTAAACAAAGATGTATTACTGCATTATGGTTGATGTATGCCTTGTAAACAAAGATGTATTACTGCATTATGGTTGATGTATGCCTTGTAAACAAAGTCCTTTATAGATTATGGAAAAATGCAAGAATATGTTTAATATAATTGGAAGTTAAAATTGAAGAAATACATTCCAAAAAATAAAAAATAAAAATGAAAAGAGTTGAAGATATTTAGTCTTATTTGTTTGTTTGTTTATGCCCTGTAAAATTAAAATCAATCATTATTATTTACAGTTAATTAAGCAAATTATAAAACCGATAAGATATTGTAATTTAAAATTTCTTAGTTAACTAAGCAAATTATAAACCGATAAGATATTGTAACTTAAAATTTCTTACATACATCTATGCTTGTTCCTGCTTCAATAAAATTCATACTTGAATTCTTATGTTGGAATAAAATTACTTATGAAAATATCCATAAGCTTCACGGACAAATGGAGTAACATTTAAGACTGAAATTGAGGCAAAAGGGGCAAAATAAGTCTTATATTTCAATCGGCTCATATTTTCACTCATTTATGAAAATTTTCCAAATATAGTGGAGTTGTTTTTGCATACAATCGAGTAAAATATTTGAAATTCGAACATCCGATTTAAATTACACCAAAATTTAAATTTTGATTTGAATTTCTGAATTGGATCGGTTCAATCTTTTTATAAATTTTGAATCTTCAAATTAGTTCAGATTAATATAATAAAATCCAAATCAATCCAAAATTAAGAATATACTATATTAATATATTTTATTATTATAAATATTCAATATTTTAATAAAAGGATAAAATTTATAATTATATATTAATATCTTTATTATTTTATATATTAGGTATTTTAATAGAAAAGGAAATAAAATTATCAAAATTTTAGAATTTTAAATATATTATGCAATTTTAAAATTTTGATTTGGTTCAAATTTGATAAAATTCGAACCAATTATCTGAACGCTCAT